GCACCCCTAATGTAGCCAATCCTCCAAGAGCTTACAGAGCTCTTCTTACAGGGGCTACTGTAAGCTCTTGGAGGATTGGCTACATTAGGGGTGTGTCACTTAATATGCAAATGAGTACCTGCTACAAAAAGAGCCCACAGGGTCAGCTATTGCTACTGGTAAAAGAGACTTGTACAGTGTGCAAGGTGGGGCTGAGAGAGCTCTGAGAGAACTGTGACTGACCCAAGGTCACCCAGCTGGCTTCATGTGGAGGAATGGGGAATCAAACCCAGTTCTCCAGATCAGTCCACCACTCTTAACCACTACACCAAACCGGCTCTGAGCCATAGCCCGTTACTGACACTGCCTTATACTGAGTCCGACCACTGGCCTATCAGGGTCAGTATTGTCTACTCTGACTGGCAGTACCTCCACATGGCCTCAGGAAGAAGTCTTTCACATCACCTTATCCTTTTAACTGGAGATGCCGCAGACTAAACCTGGATGCAAAGTAGATGCTCTATCACTGAGCCAGAGCCCCACCTTAGTAGGCTCCTAAACTTATGCTGCTGAGCTGATAGAGAAGACACAATTCCTTCTGCACACAATGGACATCCATCAGATTCCAATTTCTATTAGAGAAAATTAAGGTAATACGTTGGGAGGATTAAAAAAAATATCAAGTGTTTTTGGGGGGATATTTTTAATTGTCCACAACATTTTTACACTGCTTTCCTGTTAAAGTCCTCAAAGTCACATATGCAAAAAGTGAGGAGAAACTCCTATGCTGATATCGGTGCCCAGGAAATACCTAAGTGGTGGGATGCAGGCCTTTCGAATATACGCTACACGGTACAACCAGCTGAAGGCAGAACCCATGTTTTCTGCCCTTCCGTTTTATCTGCACACCAACCCTGTGGGGTAGGCTAGTCTTAGAGAAAGTTGCCTAGCTAGCTTAAGGGTCAACCCATAGCCTTCCTGGCTGAGTGGGGATTCTCCACATTCTAGTACAGCCGTCTAACCACTAGCCCGTGAAGTCGTATCACTAACTGAGCAGCCCTTCTCTTGTGACAACCCACCTCCTCAGTCTGGGAGTCATGGGTCTGCTTCCACCCAGGTTGCTCACAGTAACAGTTAACAGACACTGGGACTGGGGTGAACAAATCAGCGCAAGGAGGAGGAACCCAAGAATGTGTGAGAATCCTAAGACTGTGCAACAGAACGACGCTGCTATCTACCACATATGATAAAGCTTGGATAAAGCGTCTATGAAACGTTTCCCGATGTCCTTGGTGTGTGAGTAAAAGAGTTACAAAAAACACTCCGCGTTACTCTAAGAACGTAACCAGAGTCCTGCTCCGGCAACCAGATATAAAGTGTGTGTGGGGGGAGTGGTACCATTCCAAAATAACCATTATGTAGCTCCAAAATTCTAACCATCCGCATTATCGGTACTGCTATCAAATTGCCAGTGCTGATGGTTTTCTCTCGCCCTATCAAGGGGGACGTACTAAAACTAAGGACAAGCGATTGCCCATAGGCAATACATGAGTGCCAATAGAGAATCTCTATTGGCAATTATGTCCCTAGGGGCAATAATGGATTCTCTATTGGCAGTTCTATTGTACTCCATTATCCCCTATGGGCAAGCATCCTCTCCATTATTCCTTATGGGCAGTCATGGATTCTCTATTGGCAATTATGGATTCTCTATTGGCAAATATGGACTGCACTATTCCCTCTGGGCAAGCCTACTCTCTATTATTTCCTATGGGCAATCCTGGATTCTCTATTGGCAACTCGAATGATAAAAGGGTTGGAACACTTTCCCTATGAGGAAAGGTTAAAGCGCTTAGGGCTCTTTAGCTTGGAGAAACGACGACTGAGGGGTGACATGATCGAGGTTTATAAGATGATGCATGGGAAAGAGCAGGTAGAGAAAGAGGTGCTTTTCTCCCTTTCTCACAATACAAGAACTCGTGGGCACTCCATGAAACTGCAGAGCGGTCGGGTTAGAATGGATAAAAGGAAGTACCTCTTCACCCAAAGAGTGATTAACACATGGAATTCACTGCCACAGGAAGTGGCGGCGGCTACAAGCATGGACGGCTTCAAAAGGGAATTAGATAAGCATATGGAACAGAGGTCCATCAATGGCTATTAGCCACAAGGTATAGATAGGGACTCCGGGGCAAGTGATGCTCTGTCTTCTTGGTGCTTGGGGGGGTCAACAGTGGGAGGGCTTCTAATGTCCTGGCCCCACTGGTGGACCTCCTGATGGCACTGGTATTTCTGGCCACTGTGTGACACAGAGTGTTGGACTGGATGGGCCTTTGGCCTGATCCAACATTGGCGTCTCTTATGTTCTTATGTTCTTAATTATGGATTCTCTATTGGCAGTTATGTACTCCATTATCCCCTATAGGCAAGTCTACTCTTCATTATTCCCTATGGGCAATCATGCAATCCATGATCGCTCGTAAAGACATAATTGCCAACAGAGAATTCATGATTGCCCATAGGGAGTAATGGAGAGTAGGCTTGCCCAGAGGGGACACTGTGTAAAACAGAGAATCCATGATTGCCAATAGAGAATCCATGATTGCCCATAGGGAATAATGGAAAGCAGAGCACACCTGACCATACGGTATAATGGAGTCCACGCTTCGCACGATGAATAAGGGAGAACACATGTGGACGTGTGGAATAAGGGAAACCACGCTTGTCCAGAGGGAATAAGGGAGACCACACATGCCAATAGGAAATAAAGGAGACCACACTTGCCTACAGAGAATATTGGGGTCCACGCTTGCCCAAAGGGAATCATACAGACCAAACTTCCCCATAGGGAAAACGGAGCCAATGCTTGCCATTGGGATTAAGAGAGAACACGCTTCCCCATAGGAACTACTGGAGAGCATCCTTGTCCATAGCGAATAATGGAAACCACGCTTGCCCATAGGGAATAATGGAAACTACGCTTCCCCATAGGGAATAATGGAAACCATGCTTGCCCATAGGGAATAATGGAGACTATGCTTGCCCATAGGGAATAATGGACACCACTCATGCCCATAGGGAATAATGGAAAGTATGCTAGCCCATAGGGATTAATGGAAAGCATGCTTGCCCATAGGAAATAATAGAAACCACGCTTGCCCATAGAGAATAAAAGAAAGCACACTTGCCCATAGGGAATAATGGAAAGCACGCTTGCCCATAGAGATTAATGGAAAGCAAGTTTGCCCATAGGAAATAATAGAAAATACGCTTGCCCATAGAGAATAATGGAAAGCATGCTTGCCCATAGAGAATAATGGCCACCACGCTTGCCCGTAGGGAATAATGGACATGAGGCTTGCCCATAGGGAATAATGAAAACTACGCTTGCCATAGGGAATAATGTAAAGCACGGGGCAGCCATAACTTTTTAAAGAGCTGGTGGAATTTGCCCCCACGAGTCCAAGGCCACCACCACAAGGCTCAGGGAGGGGGGGAACGTTTCGCCCCCCCCCCTGCAGCCCTTGCAGCGGCTGCTGACAGCTGCGGCAGCCATAACGTTTTAAAGAGCCCCTAACGAGAGCTGGGGGAGCCAGAATGACCTCTTGCGAGTAATGTTCAAGCGGACATCCCACGCGAGAGGTAGAATTTGCCCCCACAAGTCCAAGGCCACCACCACAAGGCTCAGGGAGGGGGGGGAACTTTTCGCCCCTCCCCCCGTGGTCCTTGCAGCGGCCGCCGACAATCGTGGCGGCCATAACTTTTTAAAGAGCCCCTAACGAGAGCTGGGGGAGCCAGAATGACCTCTTGCGAGTAATGTTCAAGCGGACATCCCACGCGAGAGGTAGAATTTGCCCCCACAAGTCCAAGGCCACCACCCCAAGGCTCAGGGAGGCGGGGAAACATTTTGCCCCTCCCCCTGTGGCCGTTGCAGCGGCTGCCAACAGCCGCGGTGGCCATAAGTTTTTTAAGAGCCCCTAATGAGAGCTGGGGGTGCCGGAATGACCTTTGGGCAATCATAGATTCTCTGTTGGCAATTATGTCCCTATGAGCAGTCATGGATTCTCTATTGGAAATTATGTACTCCATTATCCCCTATGGGCAAGCGTCCTCTCCATTATTCCTTATGGGCAGTCATGGATTCTCTATTGGCATTATGGGTTCTCTATTGGCAATTATGTACTCCATTATTCCCTATGGGCAGTTATGAATTCTCTATTGGAAATTATGTACTCTATTATCCCCTATGGGCAAGCGTTCCCTCCATTATTCCTTATGGGCAGTCATGGATTCTCTATTGGCATTATGGATTCTCTATTGGCAATTATGTACTCCATTATTCCCTATGGGCAGTTATGAATTCTCTATTGGCAATTATGTACTGCAGTGTCTCCTCTGGGCAAGCCTCCTCTCCATTATTCTCTATGGGCACTCATGTATTCCCTATGGGCAATCGTTGTCCTTAGTCTTAGTACGTCCTGTATCAAGGCATGCAATATGACGACTCTAAGTCACGACAAGGCAAGGTGTGCGTGCACGCAAAGCACAGGTCTTTAACTTCCAGCACTCCACTCTATGGCTGTGAATTACAACCGACAGCATACCCCTGCCTCTTCCCCAAAGTTCCTTTTAAAAGGCGCTAGTCGTCGTCCTCTATGCCTGGAAGCTTCCCAGGGACTGGGAGGGTTCTCGTTCTGGAGTTTGCGCGGGACAACACAGCCGGCCGCAACTCTATTTTGCTGATCTAGCAGCAGTAGTAGAATGTGTGACGCTAGCGACACTCCGCCAATGAGAAGACCGCAGCGCCACGAACGGGAACCTGGAGTAGCCCGCCCTCCGAAGGCTCACGGCCCGCCCGATTGGCTAGCCTCCCCCCTTTGCCTCCTGCCTGTCATCGTGCTATAGTCACGCCACGCTCCCCTCATTAGCGCCGAGACCGGCTCTCTTATTGGGCGTGGCTTGAGTTTGACTGTGCTCGGTGCGGCGCCCAGGCCACGGTACGGTGCCGACTCGGGCATAGCCCTGCTCGAATGGGGGCGGTGCTTCCATGTGTTCGGTAACTGGTTGTTGGTGAGGGGGGTTTGGGGCGTGGTCTCACCACCTCGGGGGCGGGACCTCCATGCCGTTCCTATAGTCAGCGGCGGGTCTGCAGTCTCGCCTTCATTCATTCATTCAGCTCTTGCCGGTAGCGCCATGCAGAGGGTCGCGGTGGTCACTGGCGCCAGCAGGTAAGGAGGGAGTATGAGGCGGTGCCGGGAAGGGGTGGGGGAAGCGCTTGCCTGGCTTTGAGTGAAAAAGTATGTGGGCGTCTGATACGAGTCAGCCAAGCGTAATGTATGAATGCAAGTTCCTAACACGAGTCGCAAGCACGTCTGAATCCCGCTGGCTTCCATCGGCAGCATCACGCATGTGTTTCGCAGTCTCTCCAGTGTTTGTCTCTGGCTTGACCGTGCTTACTGTGTTCTTTTGGGAGTCCTCCTCCGGTGTGGCTGGAAAGTGTTGGGGGACAAATGCAAGTGGAGACTTTGGAGAAGGATGACGTTCTAGGAAGATGGGGGGGGGGAGGGGAGGCAGCGCCTCCCTATTCTAAGTACAGCCTAAAATGTGTATAGATTTTTTAAAATTAAATATCGTTAATATTAAACTTTCTCCCCTTAATACATGTCTCTGAGTTATATTATTACTTTTGCATTGGCCAACATGGTAGACAGCAGAAGCAGATTTGTACCTGATTAAGCAGCCGAATGCTGCCTCTTTGGAAATGAGATTTTTTTTTGCCCACTGTGCCCCAAGCTCCTGCAAGTTTATCTACATAGGTGTGAAACTGGTCCTGTGTGCCAGGCACAATAGTTTGGCAAGCTATGGTTTGGCTCTTATGCTGACAGTTGCTTATCCCTGGCCTACGTGTCTTTCCTTATAGAGGGAGCTCTTCTCGTATCCTGAACCAATTATCAGTGCTGTGTGTGTCAGTGGTAGAGAGAGGCCCGTTTGTGTTAAGGAGGTTTGGGGAGAGGTCAAACTGTGTCAAACCCCCACACAGTATAAGTAATGGTTGAAAAGGTTCTGATCCACTGTATCTGAGGAAGTGTGCTTGTACACGAAAGCTTATAATGTGAATAAAACATTGTGGGTCCTAAAGGTGCCACTGGACTCGAACTTGGGTGCTGGGGGGGGGCAACAGTGGGTGGGCTTCTAGTGTCCTGGACCCACTGGTGGACCTCCTGATGGCACCTGGTATTTTTGGCCACTGTGTGACAAAGTGTTGGACTAGATGGGCCATTGGCCTGATCCAACATTGGCTTCTCTTATGTTCTTATGTTCTTAACTCTGTTATTTTGAGATCAGCTGCAATTCCAGGAGATCTCCAGGCTCCACCTGGAGGTTGGCAACCCTTCTCACAGGTCTTCGACACACACATTGGCTTCTCTTATGTTTTTATGTTAACTTTGTTCTGCTGCTTTTAAATTTAGATTGGGGAAAGTTTTTGAAATCAGTATTATATCTGTATCATATTAGCTGTGTTATGGATTTGCTAAGATATTCAGCAGAATCAAATGCGATTGCTAGGATTCAGTGATGTTATTTTGATAATTGTCTATTTTGATGCTTAGGATTGGATCCAATGTTCCCTCTAAGCTTTGGAGTCTTGCGAGCAAAAATTCTACTTTGTGAGCTACTGGTATTAAAGCTGTGAGCGAGCGATTTGGCTGCTGTATAAATTAGTTTGCTCTGGAGCCATCCTTCCTGAGCTAGAGGGTAAAAAACGGTGAGCTAGCTCACACTAACTCAGCTTAGAGGGAACACTGGATGGATCCTGTCTAAATTTTACATCAGCGGAATAGAACTCCTCCCGCAGCTCACTCATCTGTGTGCACCACTATTCCTGCGGGATGGGGGGACCTGAAGAATGACATGGGGGTCTACAAGGGGAAACAGGAACTAATAGGTATTGCCAATGTAGTCTGAATCCAACGCTTAGAGAAAAGGGTTGTTGTTTGAAACTCAGCCTCTAATCTCTATCTGTACATCACTGAAAATAAAACTACCAGTATCAAATTAGTGGTGCAGCTGCATGTGGAATGCCATGTACAATTCTGTCGTGTCATCTTATTTCAATAAAGATATCGTAGCACTGGAAAAGGTACTGGAGGGTCACCTTTGGTATGCGTGAAAAAGAGGCTAAAGTGTCTGGACCTTTTTTGTTTAGAAAAATAGATTTCTAAAGTGGTTCTGCGTAGCATAGGGAGAATTTTGTCTCCTTATCACAAAACTAGAGCTTAGGTTCACCTAGTAAAATTAAGTTCAGGGCAGGCGAAAGAAAGACAAAATCTGTGGCACGTGATGTGGTATGACTGCCAGTCTTTCAAGGGTCATTGAACTCTATAAACTGACAGCTATTATCTGCAATAGCTAAATGGAACCTGCTGGTTCAAAACTTCAAACTAGGTAAGATTAAGAGATCAAGAGTGGGCTGGAATTGCCTGTTTGGGGGAAGAGGATGATTCTGGATCACTGACTCTTTTCTGGCAATGTTTAGAAAATTAGTTTTGGCGAATGGGATATTTGGGGTGGGTATACCTGCTAAAATTCAGTGGTCTGCCTGTTTCAAAACTAAGCACTTTTTAAACTTCTTTTTTTAAAAAAAGACATTTGAAAGTTTGAAATCAAACCCTCTACAAAACTTCTTTAAAAAAAAGACATTTGAAAGTTTGAAATCAAACCCTCTACAAAACATAATTTGCAGTTGGATTCTTTGTGTGCTTGCTTGAGTGTAAGTCTTTGAGCCAAACGTTAACAGTTGCTAGCAAGCGAATGTGTATGGATTGGGCAGTGTGGGTTCTAATCTTTCTTACTGATGCCTTTCACCTGTGCTTAATTTCTTTCCTTTCTCCAATAAAAGCTCTGACTCAATTCCTTGAATGGTATAACAATCTGAAATTACATTTATAATCTCTGTTTATTTCCCAAAAGACAAAAGGAATATTTTTTTGGAACATCCGAGGTAGGTAACAAATCCCCTTCCCCAAACAATCTGTGTGGTTTTTCATCTTTGAGTGCTGTTTGTTGGCTACAGCATGCGTGATGGGTCAGGAGGAAGCAATTTTTCTCCATGCCAGCTTGGCCAGGGATCGTGGAGGGTTTTTTGTCATGTTCTGGGCATGTGCAGGGGTCACTGGGGGTGTGGGGGGAGGTATTTGTGAATTTCCTGAGTTGTACAGGGGGTTAGACTAGATTGACCCTGGAGGTCCCTTCCAACTCTATGATTCTAAGGTTATATTAGGACTTTGATCTGAGAGTAGGAAAGGGACCGTTCTGCTTGAATTCAAATCGTTGAAATTCACCAGCCATGGTAGAATAAAATGGCATCTTAGATTAGAATTTAGAGGGCACTCCAATAAAATATAAGGGATTATATGTATTTTAACAAGGGAGCAAGAGCAAAGTAGGGAAGGTGCAAAAAGCAGCCTCTCATAACTACCTTTGAATGGGCATTCATTCCAGAAAGACTGAAAGCACTGAGTAGACCAGGTGAGGTCAGATGTGTGTCTCAAGACAAAATCATCAGGAATTTCTGTCATCCATTCTCCTGTATTCTTTAGGGGAGCCTGTAGAAACTAGGGCAAGAGAACTACCTCTGAGGGCAGTTTCTCTGCTGTTTTCCTGCCTTCAGTTTGCCCATTGCTTACATTCTTCTCTCCTCCCCTGTTGGAGCCAGATCACCGAGTCTTCTCAATAACCCAGCATGGCAGTGCCATAGAGGTCCATGAGGGCCAGTTTGGTGTAGTGGTTAAGTGTGCAGACTCTAATCTGGGAGAACTGGGTTTGATTCCCCACTCCTCCACTTGCCCCTGCTGATGTGACCTTGGGTCAGTCACAAGCTCTGGCACAGCTGTCCTTGAAAAAGAGCAGTTTGTGTTCAAGTTCTCTCAGCCCCACCCACCTCACAGGGTGTCTGTTGTGGGGAGGGGAAGGGAAAGGAGTTTGTAAGCCGCTCTGAGACTCCAAGTGAAGGGCGGGGTATAAATCCAATCTCTTCTCTTCTTCTTCTTATTTCCCTTGCATTCAACTCCTCCCATTGCTCCAGATTAAGACCTTCTCTTCCTGGCATACAAGGTCTCCAGTCTTCTCCAAAAAAAGAGGGGTGCTTGAACCAGGATTGTGTGGAAGTTTCTGCAATGATAAGTATAGAGTTACAAAAGGAATAGGTGACTGTTACCTATCATAAGGAAGATCCAGGTGGGTAGCCATGTTGGTCTGAAGCAGCAGAACGAAGTTTGAGTCGATGGCACCTTTAAGACCAACAATTTTTTATTCAAGGTACGACCTTTCATGTGCATGCACACTGTATCTGAGGACGTGTGCATGCACATGAAAGGTCATACCTTGAATGAAACTTGGTTGGTCTTAAAGGTGCCACTGGACTCAAGCTTTCTTCCATCATAAGGAAGTTTCACTTTCTAGCCCACCTTTTATCCCAGGGTGACATTTTCCTGAAGAATGTATATGGGTTGCCAGGGAGTTTTCTGTAATGAGTGTGAGTTGCCCTGGCTCTTCTAGCATAAGTCCAAGGGCTTGCTGGTGGTGAGGTGGTTCTTGTAAACCCTTAATTCATAAACCTGATAGCATATCTTGTAGCTCTTTCCGTGGGCTCTTTGTAAAAGGAGTGAGCAGTTTGAAAGGGCTCCCAATATAGTTCAGGCTGTTCCTGTAAGCAGCTGATCCATAAGTTTGATAGCACACCTCATTATTCTTTTCTGTTGCAGCGGAATTGGTTCTGCCTTGTGTGAGCGCCTTCTCCAGGAAGATGCCAGCCTCCATCTGTGTCTTGCCTGCAGGAATATGGAGAAGGCCAATGCCACCCGTAAGAAGCTGCTGTCCTACTTTCCCCATGCAGACGTCAGCATTGTTCAAGTAGACGTCGGCAGTGTGGAATCAGTCCTCAGTGCAGCCAAAGAGATCAAGAAGAGGTGCGTGGGAGAGTGGGGACAATTTGCATGGGGCTCCCTGTGGCTTTCCGTAAGGAGTCATTTCCTTAACTCATCTTACTTTCACAAAACGGTTCTCCCATGTAGTTTTCCAGCCCCTGTCCATGTTGCAGAATTCTGTGAGTATAGCCATACTGGTCTGATGCAACAGTGTGATACTTAAAGCCTTTTAAGGTGGAGCTAGATACTTATGCCAGCAGATAAGAAGTTCTTATTTATTTATCAAATTTATACCCCGCCCTCCCCCGTAGGGCTCAGGGCGGCTCACAAGGCAAGATAAACTTGCTACAGTAAAACAACAATATATCCATAATTTAAAACATACTATACAATTTAAAAGAAACCCAGTTCTAAATCACATAAATTGCTCAGTGATAATCAGAACTCTAAAACCCCAAGATGACGGGACAAATCCAAAGACAGTTCTTAACAGGCAGTCTATAGCATCGCTGTTCAGATGTTCTGATAGTCCTTCTCAGGGGCTCTTCTTTGGGAACACGAGTTGGTTTGCCAGGGGATGGATTTAACCATGTGAAATAATGCTATCTCCAGAATGTGTGGGCAGCCGGACAACCTATACCCAGGCCCATAACCAAAGTCTAGTTCCATCCTTCTCAGGAATCCGCAGGTTGTAGCAAGAGTTGTAACCAGCTGCCGTTTTCAACTAGTCAGCAAGGAAGTTCAGTCTTACCTTGCAGCAGTTACCATAGGTATTTATCCAAACACAGGCAGTTTCATCCTACAGAAATGTAACCTCAGGTTTTATTTTGTTTAAAGAAGCCATGAATGCTTATATTTTGTGGCTTTTGACGTTTTTTTCTTTCCCATTTTTAAGATTGATCTTTCTCTCCCCCCTGCACGTGTGCATTTCCCCCCGAACCATCGAATAGCATTACACTTGCCTGTAGCTCTTTGAAAACTGAACATTTGTTTTGTGCCATAAGTTTCCATAGGCAAGAATCTACTTTTCCAGCCCAGTTCTTAAAAGATACATTGTTTCCTGCACAGAGGTTGGAAAAGTTATTCTGAGGTTTACTTTTCAATCAACATTCATGACGGAACCAAATTTTTGGCATGTCCATTCATCCAAAGCCTTTTATTGGCATATAAATAAAGATACAGTAATCTAAATAAAAAATCATGCAGAGTAAAATTAAAATTGCAGAGTAACATCACAGAGTAACATCATAATAAAACCTAATTCATAATATCACTTATCAGGCCGTAGGACCATGGCACTGCAGAGAAACAGAGGTGAGGGGAAGGAACAGGCCGGAGGCGTCTTCGGTTTCTTCTCTCTTTCTCAGCCGCCTCAGCTTTTTGGCATGTAAGATCTTTCACTTTGGCCCCTTAGGGTTACAAAGGTGGATCTCGACTGTCAACTGTTGTGTCAGATGTTGTGTCAACTGTTGTGACAGGTGTCAGTTCCTTCCAAACTTTCTAAAGTGGAGTCTACATCTAAACTTGCTTTGCAAGTGGGTCCCAAAAAGTAGAGTAAATCCACACTAGTTTTTTCACTCTCTGGTATAAAATACAAGAATCTCGCATTGGTTGATACTAAACAAGTTCATGTTTTTCATTTTAAGTGTTTACAAGTATATTGCATTACTGAGCAGCGTGCTGTATTTTATGGCCATTTCATATATGAAGCGTAGGCAAAACCAAATTTACTATTTCTTTTCCCAGCTCTCTCTGTTCTACTTCCATCCTCCTGGCCCTATGACCCACTTCCGGGTCCCAACCCACAATTCAAGAACCATTGCCAGAAATAATGCCAGTACAAGCAGATATAAATTTGCTTCAGGAGAGAACCCATCATTTGGCAAGAATATGCTGAGCTAATTTTCATGGATTGTTACTGTTTTAATGTTTCATGAGTGCAAATGCTTTTATTATTAAAAAGTAGAATAATTTTCTTTTAAAATTTCAATTATAAGGGTTTCTGGTACAGACCTTCCCTGTATTCTTCCAAGACCTCTCTTCTCTGCGTGCTTACCTGGGAGCTAGCTCTTTCGAATTCAGTGGGGTTTACTTTGAAGTAAATGGATTAGGCAATAAAAGCATCGACAACTTGCTCAGTGAAAAGTTTTTGTTAAGTTTGAATCCAAACTTTGTATTTCCAATAAAAAGCTAAAAATCTTACCAAGAAGTATTACTGTTTCAAGAGGTTTGCTTCGTTCTTACTTTGTTAGTCGGAGCTAGACGCCTGGTTAAAAGGCACAGAAGTTATCTCTCCCAATCCTTTTTTGAATCCTAGCTCTGATCAGCAAAGGTAAAATACGTAGATAGGCTAAATCTCCCCCTTCTTTCTCCATCTCCAGACATTTTGAATTCAAGGTACTCACCTGGTCAGCGTGAACTTTAAAGCCTGCCTGTGCCTCCTTGTCACCTATTGAAAAGGATGGCTTGACAGAGCCAGGGGAGGAAGTTACCATGCTGTATGTTTTGGTCTTCATTGCCGCATGATGAACCTACACTTTGTGGCCAGTGTGATCAAGTGGTAGCAAACACCCTGCCACCTGTGAATAGTGAGATGTAATTGGAGGGCTGTAACTGGAGGGGGAGAAGTTAGGAACTTGTCTTTGCAGCACTGGACTGTGTCATAACCAGTTCTTTCCTAAGCAGTCTTCCTGTAATGCACGATGACCCAGAGTCCAGAGCATCAAAGATTTTCCTGGTCTATACCTCTTCAGGCTCCAGGTTGAGGTGGGGTTGTATATTCTTGCACACATAAAACTACCATATTAAAGGAAACTGTTCGCCCCAGTTTTTTCCTAGTATGCCAGTTTTGTATATGTTGGGAGGCTGTGAAACCTGCAGCCTGAATCTGTCTTGTACAAACAGCATCGAATGACAATGCGAACTGCATCAACTGGCTGCCAAAGTAAGATGGTGGTCAGTTGACCCAGAATTCAGGTCCTAACACATGTATTTTGTATGACCAGTTCTGTGTAGCAAGTGCTCAAGACTGTCCTTCTCTTCTGGCAGTAACTGACAATAATTAATTCTGTTTTGCAGGTTTCAGCATGTAGATTATCTCTTCTTGAATGCTGGGATCATGGTAAATCCACGTATCAGCTTCTCAGCTTTTGTGCATGGCCTCTTCTCCAGGTATAGCACATCCAGCTCACTAACGCATCTTGATTCTCTGCCTGGCTTTGTGAAGGGAAGGGATGAATGGACGTTCCATTGTCTAGGAGATTGCTTTGGGTGGCCGAGTGAAATAGATGTGGTCTTCATCACTGCCTATGTTACAAACCTGAGCCCATCTAACTCTCATGGATCTCCTTCCTCTGAGACAGACTGACACAATTTTGACTCTTTCTACTGCGAAGAAAGAGGCTGTTGTCTTGCTCTTCTGCTTCCTTTCTTGCATGTTACCCTGCTAGAGTTCTAAGAACGTCAAAGTTTATTTTGAATATAAAGTACATTTCAAGACCTCGCTGTTTCAGAGCTGCATTTCATGATATGAAGATAAAAATATTAGCGGATCAGAGCGTAGCCTGGATTCACTGTCGTTTCCCTCTCCCAGTTAACTTCATTTATTAGGATGGGTCCCATCCTTCCTCTCTCCCCAGTTAAGATCAAACCCAGTGTTTGATCAAGCATATTGCAGGATGAAAGTGCTAGCTGTATTTAGGAACCAGTGTTTATTATTGTTTTCCAAACATATAATGTGTTGTCCTGGACCCAGCACAGTATTTCTGTGGGTGCAGGGCCGGCTCACCCACTAGGCGAACTAGGCATTCGCCTAGAGTGCTGGGCCCTGGATGGGGCCCTGAGCTGTGCCTCCCCCCCCGCCACCAAAAGCCCGCAAGCAGCTCTCCAAGTGTCAGCACTTCGCTAATTGGGGAGAGGCATCCGATGAGCATCCCCCGCCTGGAGAAAGGATCCCCCCCACCTCCCTCCCAAACTGCCTTCGGAGAGAAATCTCTCTTCTATCTTGGAGGGCGCTGCAGGAACATGTGGGGCGTGCTCGCTGGGTCTGACAGCTGCGGGAGGTGGGGAGGTGGCGGCGGTGGTAGCAAAAGGGTGGCTGGCTCCAGAGGTCTTCAGGCCCCACCGGGAGGTTGGCCTCTGCACCACAAGGCAGCCTCGCCTAGGGCGCAGAAACACCTCGAGCCGGCCCTGTGTGGGTGCAAAGACTTCTGCTCTTGGAGAGTGACTTGCTTGGCTCTCTGTTCCATGGGAGCCCAAAATGCCCCCGAAATCCTGCTCCTGGGAAATCCTCCCTTGAAGCAGGATTTCAGGGGGCTGTCATGGGAGGGAGGAGCCTAATGTCATACTCTGCAGGTGGAAGTTTTTGCACCTGTGGAATGCTGCCCTGCATCCACATGCCGAGACCCAGACTCAGTTTTCCATCAGTGGCACTTTGCAGAACTTCTCAGTCTCCTCTTCCATTGAAGCCCACTGATTTTCCTTACAGTGCTGCTCCTGGGGGACAGGGTTCCCTGGGAGACAGCACGAAGGGGTACGCCCGCAGTGGGAAGGGAGGATTGGTGGAAGTTGCCAGTTCAGTTCAGTGAGTTTTTCCGAACTAACCCATTAGGTGACAGGATGAGTGACTTATAGATATGGCTTGAAGAAAGAATAAAGCCATGGTTGGTGAATGGTTGGTTGGAAGGCAGGAAAAGAGAGGGGGCGCATTTATCTGTAGCCCTTTGGAGCCTTTTCTGGCTTTCCTTTTGGGAGAGTCTGACTGTACAGTTTCTCCCATGGATCCAGGACGTACCTTGCTGGACAAATATAACTTCTCTCCCACTCTTTGCACATCCCACTCTGTCGTCCAAGAGCAGCAGCCCCAGATGGCCATGAGCCTTAAATGCAAGAGACTATCGGTACACTCTAATTTTGAGCCTCAGTAGGGAAGAAAGTTAGGAAAAATTGCTTTGTGTTGGATGTTCACAGTATGCTTAGCTGGCGCACAATAAGAGCTGGAAGTAATCTAATTGTTGCAATGGGTTTTTTTCTTTCTTCCAAAGTTGCTGCAGCTGAAGGTGTAGGAAAACTGTTAGGCAAATGCCAAACTTCATTTGCCAGACATGTTGCACTCCTGTTACAATATCAGTATTTGGAACAATTCTGGCATCATATTTCCCCCTCTCCTTTTCACTGTCTCCTTTTTCCGTATCGCATTCATTGTGAACTTGCTCCTTGCTTTCAAGGTCTTGCATTCTTGCCCTTCCCTGATCTCCCTTGGCTTCTGTGCCCCTCCCAATAGGTGCAGCTTTCTTATGGTGTAACCATCTGCTCTTGCCCCAGTTCATCCTTATACACAGCTCTGAAGGACAGCGGGAGCTCTTTGTATTTCAGCTACCCCTGCTGTTTAAGATGTTGTCTCCTTTCTCAATGATCCAAGCTGAGAAGTGTGAATTCTTTCCTTTCATGAAGTCCGTTCTGTACCTCTTTGGCTTCTTTTTCCAGTTCATCCTTCTTAAAGTCAGCAGTTTGCACATTGAGCTCCAGATATGCGGGACAAACATGAGCAGACATGATTTTATCTATGTATTTATTTCATTTGTACCCCACTTTCCTCCCCCATGGGAACCTGAAGTGGCTTTCATCCTTCTCCTCTCCTCCATTTTATCCTCACAACAACCCTCTGAGGTAGGTTAGGTTGAGAGTGTGTGACTGCCCCAAGGCCACCCAGGAGACGTCGATGTCAGAGTGGGGATTTGAACCTGGGTCTCCCAGATCCTAGCCTGACACTCTGTTACATCACGCTGCTGACTAGTATTATAATCTGCGTTCTGTCCATGTCTTACCTTTTATTTTCCTTGTTAGACCTCCACTGTGCATTTGGTTGTTGGACTCACAGGGACAGGCCTAAAAGTGGCTCCCAGAACTATTATTGATTGATTTGATTTCTAACCCACCCTTCCCTGCACAGCAAGGCTCAGGGCGGGTTACAACAATGTAGATATAAGTATAACAACTATGAATCTAAATATAAAATAATCTCAAACACTATGAACATCTATCAGCTGTTAAACAATAAGATGGCGGTCAGTAATACAGATTAATGCTTCCATTCCCACAGGTTCTACATGGATGCAACAGTAGATGTTAACTAATACTGAGGCAAGTGGGTAGACAAAAGAGATGAAACAAGATGGAACATAACAAAGTATGACAGAGCAGGGGAGGCCAATCCAGATGAACTTCTGCTGCCTTGATGAAACATCTCCATTTTATAGGCCCTGTGGAAGTGTATTAAATCCTGCAGGGGCCGGATCTCACTCGGGAGAGTGTTCCACCAGGCCGGTGCCAGAGCTGAAAAGGCTCTGGTTGAGGCTAGGCAGTACCTTTTGGACCGGGGATCTCCAGAAGATGTTGATCTATAGGGCTCAAGGCTCTTTGGGGAACATACCAGGAGAGAACTAGCCTGTGCCCTAACCACTGGTCATTTTTGTTTAGCCTTGTATTCTGCCCTTCCTATGAGGGGTTCAAAGAATCATATGTGGCATGCCCAGGTGGTCTCCCATCCAAGTTCTAACCAGTCAAAGCCTGCTTAGCTTCAGTGATGGCACATCTTCAACTGGAACAAAAGTTTCCTTTTGCCGGGCTTGCACTGCTTCGTATATGTGACACGGGAACAGCTTTGGCCTTTGGTTTTATGCAACCATACTTAACTGGCATAAAAATGGTTTACAATCCTCATCTTTGTTTTCCCTGGTGACAAGCCCTACGAGGCATGTTTTTTTCTCTCTCCTGTTTTACCACTGAGTAACTTACTGCTCACCCAAAGCGGCTGCAGCCCTTAGATATCTCTGGCCGCAGCATGGATGATTGCCTCCCCATGTCACCTCATTGAAACTTGTATCAAGGCTGCCTTCCAGCCTGCCACCATTGTCTGTTCTACCAGGTAGTCCCCCTGTTTCCTGCAGCCTCTTTACATGACCATTACCCCACCCTCCCAAAAGTCTGGGGCCTGATTGTTTAGGAACCCCCCGATCTAGAACAGTGGCTATTAAATATTGTTGAATTGCAGACTGTCATTCTAGTTTGCTGTTTTACACCCACAATGTGACTTCGTGGTTACATGAAACTTCCAGGTTGAAACTCAGGTATTACCAGGGGTCATTTCGTAGAAACAGAGGTGCAGGAGCTCATTAGCATAACTAATTAGCATAACTAATTTGCATATGCTACACCCCCTGACATCATCAGAAGTGTGTCAGAAGGCAGCACCCACCGCTCAGGCTCCACTGGACTGTTTTGGATTGCTAGCTATTGGGGGAACGTGCAGATCTGTCCTCGCAGAGGAGGGAGAGCTTGTACCTGAATAAAACTTGGTCTTAAAGGTCCCACTGGACTGTTTTGGACCGGGGCCCCGGAGGGGGGCTTTGCAACTTACCTGGCTGCTTCTTGCTCTGACTGAGGGCTGCTGGGAGCAGGGGGTGGGGCTTGTTGCATGTGCCCACCCCCTGGGCTTTTTACTGCCGGAGGAAATGACCCCTAGGCTCTTTACTACCTGCAGGAATTATGTCCAGTTTGGTGCAGTGGTTAAGAGCATGGAATTACGTGCAGTTTACTACCCCTGGGTATTACGTCCAGTTTGGTGCAGTGGTTAAGAGCATGGACCCTATAAACTGGGAGAATGGGGTTTGATTCCCCACTCTTCCACATACAGCTGCTGGATTGACCTTGTGTCAGTCACGAGCTGTTCTCTCGAGCAGTTCTTGAAGCGTTTTCTCAGCCCCACCTATCTCACAGGGTGTCTGTTGTGGGCAGGGAAAGGGAAAGGAGATTGTAAGCCGCTCTGAGACTCCAAGTGAAGGGCGGGGTATAAATCCAATCTCTTCTTCTTTGTCTTCATCCATCTTCTGTGTGTCTGTGATTCCGTGAAAAACCACGCATGCAGCCAGGGAGTTCTTAGTTTTCTGTCTTTAGCAACACAAGTAGGCAAAGAATAGACATGTGCTGGGCTGAAGCAAGGGCTCAAGTGGAGGAATCTGTTCCCCCAGTAGCCAGCCATATGCCTCCCAGGGATCCCACAAGCAAGGCACGAAAGCCTTACAGTCTAATTAAAAACAAAACAGGATGTTTCTTCAGCATATCATAGAAACATCCCAGAAATTCCAGGCACTTCCCTATATTTTTCTTGTGATCTTGAGAAGCCACTGAAAAATTGGCCTCGACGCTGTAGCGTAAGAACGACCGCTCTAGAATGGGTCAAACAGAAACAATTAAAGATTGGCATTTCCCCTTCTTACCTCCACTTACCACTCACACTTAGGGTAAGAATAGGGACAATGGTGCTTCTTAAAGGCAGATGTCTTCCCGCTTCTGCAGAATATCCTGCCACTTCTTGTTCTGTTTCCAGGAGAGCCTATCGGATGCTGACCACGGCAGAAGGGCTGATGAGTCAAGAGGACCGTGTCACTCCAGACGGCCTGCAGGAAGTCTTTGAAACCAACCTTTTTGGGCATTTCGTACTGGTAGGGAAGCTTTTGGTCCTGTAACTGGGTTTTGTGTCTTGAACACAGAGGGATTTCGCAACAGGTTACAGGTACCCGCACAGATAGTACATATTCTGTCCTAGGTGGCAGCTTCAGTGGAGGCTCCGAACAATCGGTTCTCCAGTGCGGTTCCTTCTTAGTTCTGGACTAGCTGCCATTTTGGGTGCGATAGGAAGAAAATAAAGCTTTTAAAAAATATTAGAACTAGACATCGCCCTGAGTTCCAGTGCCCAAGTGAAAATCACCACTTGCAGATCATGAGAGCATCCGGGATCTGTTTTGTGCCACCACCACCACCACCACCCGTGGTGCTCTTCCTTTTTGCCTGGTGTTGGTAATTGAATGTGGTGGCACTCGACTTGTGTACAGTCTATGGCTGAAAGCTTATTGAAATATGACTTTGTATGAGTGAGGAAACTGGGCAACGGGGTTGTCATCGCTAAGCATCTACAGTGTGTTTTTTTTAACCCATGGCCCCAGCATTGGGCACATAAGAGAAGGGAAGAGGGGCGCATAACCAGCCCTTGTTTGGGTGCTAGAACAGGGGATCCTCCGCCTTTTTGAGCATGCAGGCACCTTGGAATTCTGCCACAGGGTGGTGGGTGCCACTACGGAATAGCTGCCAGAGGAGGCGGAGCCATCCACAGAATGCCAGGGTGTTAGGTTATGCATAACTCTCATAGTAACTCAATATTTCAGGCAGGAGATCTGTTTGACAGGATGCCTTTTTAAATGAACGTACTGGGGTTTTCTTTTGATTCACACAGATTACCTTCAGTCACACACTGCAGATATTTGTGTCGTGGTGGCAGCTGCTGCCAAAGCAACATTTTTAAAAATCTGCACAGCCGGTCAGATCCCCAGTGGCCAGTCGGAAATCCTGCTGGGTATAAAACCCTGCTGGGACCTTGCCCACTTTCTAAAAAGACTGGGTGGGCGTCAGGAAAGGCACTACATTGGGAACCCTTGAGCTACAATATCAAAGGCTGTCCCAGAAGAGAACTGCTCATATAAAGGATTTTTATCGCTATAATGTAGACCATTCTGACTTAGCTCCGGATGAAAGAAATTGAGGCCTTGCTCTTGTCTACTCTCGCCCTGTTCCTTGGCCCCAGGATGTGTCTGTTTCAGACATCCTGTGAAGATTGAAGCTGTTTGAGTGCAAGTATATGGGGGTCCTAAAGCTCCAAGAAGCCCGAAGGCTAACTGATAATTTGAGAGGACCCCCTTCCTTCTTGCACCCTGTAGGACCCCCTTCCTTCTTGCACCCTGTATCAGTGTCTTGGAAGAATAAACATAGTATTTTTTAAAAAAAAATCAGAACTTAATAGAGCACTATGATTTCTTGCAAACTAAAAGATAAAATGCTATCAGATTCACCTGAGGAGCCAGTTTGGTGTAGTGGTTAAGAGTGGCGGACTCTAATCTGGGAGAACCGGGTTTGATTCCCCACTCCTCCACATGCAGCCAGCTGGGTGACTTTGGATCAGTCACAGTTCTCTCAGAGCAGTTCTCTGAAGAGCAGTTCTCTCAGAGTTCTCTCAGCTCCACCTACCTCAGAGGGTATCTGTTGTGGGGAGAGGAAGGGAAAGGAGATTGTAAGCCACTCTGAGACTCCAAGTGAAGAGCGGGGTATACATTCAACTCTTTAAAATAATGCATTCCTTTGGCAAATGGGATCATCCCACTTTATTGAGATTTGGAGTACTGATTGGGGTTCTGGCACAAATTGGTTGCTGGGCTGCCTGTCAGGGACCTGAGATGTGCCAGTGACTGTGCCTTTCTCCTATTGGCTGGGGCGATGCCTCCATTGCCCCACCCTCCAACTGGGCTATTTTCCAAGCTCTTGGCTTTTCCTGGCCATCTGAGGGGAGAGCTGGGGGCTGGTGGGCTCTATGTTGATTAAATCCATATGGGACAATAAGAGCAGATCTTACCACTGAAATCGGTGGCCCAGTAAATGTAGCACAGGGCAGGCCCAGAATACTGAAAGGTACCCTTAGTTCAGGGGCTGCGTTTTCACTGACAGGGCAGGAAAATGATCCAATCCTATAAAATATTGAAACGGGGAATGCTTTTTGTCAAAGCTGATGCAATACCATCGATGCGTCTTGTGACCTGACAGCGCTTGCTCTTGAATTATGGCTGGAGATCCTGCAGAACAGGTTCTGATGTTGTAATTTTTAGAGCCGAATAAAAAATTCTAGCAGAAGTTGCCTGACTTGGACAGCACAGTTGAACATGATCTCAAAACCTAAGCAGGGTCGGTCCCAGTTAGTAAGTGGACAGGGGAGACCTCCAAGGAATACCAGGGCCACGATGCAGAGGCAGGCAATGGCAAACCACCTCTGAGTGTCCCTTGCCTTGAAAACCCTGCAGGGTCACCATATGTCACTGCGACTTGACAGCACTTCCCGCTTTCAACAGAGGTGGTTCTTCCCATCGTGATCTGATTGTCTATGCTGGCTCTAAGCTCCCTTTCAACACTTGGGTCGACTTTTGTGACAAATTTCTCTCTTTGCTGAGGGCTGCCCGCCCTTGCATAGCAACCTTGGTCTTCCTTGGATGTCCTCCCATCTAAATAGTCGCCAAGGCCAACCCTGCTTAACTTCTGAGATCTGATGAGATAGGCTAGTATGGGCTATCCACATCAGGGCATGTGTGATTTTGCGTTATGATAAATTGTGCTCTTCAGGTGCAGGGCCGGCTCACCCACTAGGCGAACTAGGCATTCGCCTAGAGTGCTGGGCCCTGGAAGGGGCGCTGAGCTGTGCCTCCCCCCCCCCCCCGCCAAAAGACTGCAAGCAGCTCTCCAAGTGTCAGCACTTCGCTAATTGGGGAGAGGCATCCGGTGAGCATCCCCCGCCTGGAGGCAGGATCCCCCCACCTCCCTCCCAAACTGCCTTCGGAAGCGGAGCACGAGAGAAATCTCTCTTCCATCCATGTACGGTAGCCCACTAGGGTCTTGATAAACCTGAAGGTGTTTTTGCTGCTTGCATGGGACTGTTAAAACCAGGGGTCAGCATTCTTGACTAAATTAACATGTTATGAATACTCATTAAGCTTGTTTGTGGATAAATTTCTTGAATAATGGACTTTCCATATAATGTGTTGGAGCAGTAAACATAAGGAGGGTGTCCAGCTTGGTGTAGTTTGGTGTAGTGGTTAAGTGTGCGGACTCTAATCTGGGAGAACCGGGTTTGATTCCCCACTCCTCCACTTGCACCTGCTGGATGACCTTGGGCAAGCTATACTTCTGTCAGAGCTGTCCTTGAAAGGGCAGTTTCTGTCAGAGTTCTCTCAGCCCCACCCACCTCACAGGGTGTCTGTTGTGGGGAGGGGAAGGGAAAGGAGTTTGTAAGCCGCTCTGAGACTCCGAGTGAAGGGCGGGGTATAAATCCAATCTCTTCTTCTTTCTCTGAGCCTTACTGATTTCCTTACATTGTTCATTTGTTATGTGTAACCCTCTGCTTTTTATAAGGTATTTACATTTTAAAATAGAAACTGAAACCTGAAAAAAACCAGGGTTAGCGTCAAGTCCCTGGCTGGCCTCACTAGATGCTGGTTGGGGTGGGGGAGGGAGAACTGTGTTGCCAACTCCTGCTTGGGCAATACCTGGAGATTTGGGAATGGTGCCTGGGGGGGGGGACCTTAGTGGGGCATAATGCCATAAAGCCCACCTTCAAAATTTTCTCCAGGGGGAGCTGATCCCCGTTATCTGGAGACCAGATTTTCCAGATTTTATTTTTCTCCATACAATGAAAAGTTTCACCTGCCCATTTCCATTCATTGAGCATCTGTTCAAGGGAAAGGACTCCCCCCAGCTGTTGTCAACTCTAGCTGGACTCTTCTGCAATCCTGGTGTCTTGTCTACTCAGATTCGGCAGCTGGAATCTTTGCTTTGCTGTATTGGAAGGCCCAGCCAGCTCATTTGGACCTCCTCGATCAGCGCCCGCAGGTCTAACTTCAGTCTTGACGACTACCAGCACAGCCAAGGCAAAGAGGCCTACAGTTCCTCGAAATATGCCACTGACCTTGCTAGCGTGGCTCTGAACAGCCATTTCAGCAATCAGGTGAGGGTGGCTCCTTTTGCTCTGCAACGGCCTCTTGTTTTTTCAGAAGAGGGATGAGGCTGGGGTGAGCTTCAGTGAATGTTGGTGAAGAATAATGAGACATAATGTGTCCCAGAGTGTTTTTAAGGGTTTCTAGTCCATATGGCTGTAAAGATTAACTTTAAGTATGTAAGCTCTGCCTGGTGCCTTTCCAAAGGGGGCGGGGAGCTCAGTAGGGTTTGTTTTTTTAAAAATAGCTCCTCTCTGTGACCTGCAGGTGGAGAAGAAATTAGGCAGCCTAAGGAGTTTTGAGCAAACTGGTTAATTTCATCATTTTTTTCATGGCACAGACTGGTGCACAGATGCCTTTGTTCTAGGTGCAGGATTTGAGCTATTTGGGGGGAAGGTTTGTAGTTGCCTTGGCTTTGTTTCATCTTTTAGGCATCCTTTTCTCCTCCTATCTGTGTAGGCCTTAGAAAACAGGCAGGGGGAATCACAGTCTTTGTCCTCCAAAGACACACCACATGAGCACAGTGTGCATAGAAAGACACATTGGTGCAGTGGCTGCTACAGGGGAGCATGCGATTGCGCATGCTGGCCCAGTTTCTCCTGTGTGCATTCTCCTAAATATGGGTGCAGCATCTACATGCATACAAGTTGAAACCCTGTAGGCCCAGGCCCTGTAATTGCAAATATTTGTTCCTGGTCATTTCTGATCATATATGCAGGCATTATTCCATGTGCAGTGAATGTATGTTGAAGGTACCTCAGTTATTCCCATTTCAAAGATACAGAGGTACTTAGGTTGAAACACATGAGGTTGTCCAAAGCCTAATGACAAATGTTGCAACAGGGACTCCCATATTTCAGTGCAGTACTTGGCTGCTCTTAAGGGATTGAATGTTTTGAAGGCTACCTCCCCTCCCCCAGCAGATCTGTTTCCAAGAAGGCACCTAGAGACCTTTCTTCCTTGTGGGTTTTTCCAGCTGAATGCATTCTCACAAATAATCCTCCCTGCTACTTGAAGCAATCGGCATGCATAAAGAGCAGAATGGGAAACTACTGGGAAGAGGTGGGGGTAGTCTTGTAATAGCTTATCCCTCTTCTCCCAGTAAGCTAAGTCACTGCACACATTCCTTATATGCAGGGCTATTTCTGGGCAGGAACGCACAGGAACGGAGTTCCGGCTGGCTCCCAAGTTGGCCACGCCCAGCAGGAACTCATTAGCATAATAGGCCACACCCAATAGCAGAAACTCATTAGGATTGGCCACATTAGGGGTGTGTGGCCTAACATGCAAAGGAGTTCCTGCTACAAAAAAAGGCCCTGGGTTTTGACAACAAACAAGGTAAACAGAATAAGAAGCAAAAGGTGGGTGTGGCTGGATAACCACACTTCTGGTAACATGGGGGTGCGGCCTAATGTGCTAATGAGCTGTGCTGTCAGGGGTGTGGCCTAATATGCTAATGAGTTTCTGCCTATTTTTCTACAAAAAGAGCCCTGCTTATATGTGCTCTTTGGATTCAGTTCCCCCTCCTTTTGCCTTTGTTTCCCCTCTTCCCCAACAGGGTCTATATTCCAGTGTTGTGTGTCCAGGAGTCGTGATGACCAACATGACGTATGAAATCCTGCCTTCTTTCATCTGGAAGTTATTTTTCCCCATCATGTGGCTGGTGAGTGGGGTATCTTCAGAACCCCTTATAAAAAGTGGGGGGGACCATGACTCACTGTAGAGCAGGGGTCCCCAACATGGTGCCCATCAATGCCATGGCAGTTGCCGACACCTTTCCTGGCAGCCACCAAGTTTTTTTAGAAAGTGGCCTGGGCCGGGTGAGGTTTTGGCCCAGCAAGGCTTCAGATTGGCCTTTGGAGATTTGATTGGCTGTGCAGATTTTTAAAAATATTGCTTTGGCAGCAGCTGCCACCATGACAGAAGGTTCTTCATTGTGTCACTGAAAGGAAGCGATGGCAGCCATTTTGTGGCTGGCGTCAGCTCTTGTGACAGCCATTTTGTGGCTATGTCCACCACTGTCTCAGGAATCTAAAGGTGTACGCGGGCTCAAAAAGCTGGGGGACCCCTGCTCTAGAGCATCTTGCCTTGCATACAGAAGGTCCTGGTTCAATCTCCAATTAGCGCCAGTTTAAAAACATTTGATAGTAGATTATATGGAAGACCTGTACATGAGATCCTAGGGAACTGCTGCCAGTCAGAGAAGACAGGACCGACCTTGAAAGATAAAAGGGTCTGACTTGGTCATGAAGCATCTTCACATGTTCAGAGTTTGGGGAACTGGGGAGAGATTCCAATCCCAGCATATCTAGGAGAAAGGGGTACATTTGTAGGCCAAGGGCTCAGTTTATTGCTAGTAAATCTAAAGCAAGATTAGGGTTGCCAAGTGGCCCTTACCTTGCCGGTGGGGGACTCCCGTGTGGTTCCCGGCACGTGCGCGTCACAGGGAAGTGACGTCATGACGCCGGGCATGCTGGGGGCGGGGCCATGACCATACAAGGGAAAACCATAGAGTTACCGTTGGGTAACGGGCCTCTGGGGCCGGGGGGGTTTCGGCCCCCCGGGGGGACTTGGCAGCCCTAAGCAAGATTGCTGTCTTACTGTATAGTAATTGGGGAGGTCAGAGTGGCTATTTTCTGCTTGACCTCAATTGTGGTGGGATTGGGTTGGGGTAGTATTTCCTGCCATTTTGAGAATGTATCTAGTGCCAGTATTGTAGAAGGGAGAATAAAAAAATTAACCTCTGTGTTTTGCCCTGCTGCCAGATCCGCCTTTTCACTCACACTTATACACTGACACCCTACAATGGAGCAGAAGCCCAGGTAAGGTGTTTTTAACCTGTAGCGCTCGGGCTAGTGTTGTAATAATAATAATAATAATAATAATAATAATAATAATAATACATTCAGTTTATTGCTAGTAAATCTAAAGCAAGATTAGGGTTGCCAAGTGGCACTTACCTTGCCGGCGGGGATAGCCCTTTCCTTCCTTTCCTTTTATACCCTTAGAAGCTCATTGATTCACAGATCTTGAGCAGCAGAAGATACTTGCTTCTTACTTTTTTAATGTGAGGGCTAAAAGGACTGAGACAGATTCTTCATTCGCTAGAATAAACCAGGGCTATTTTTAGGCAGGAACGCGCAGGAACGGAATTCCGGCTGGCTCCCGAGTTGGCCACGCCCAGCAGGAACTCATTAGAATAATAGGCCACACCCAACAGCAGGAACTAATTAGGATTGGCTACATTAGGGGTGTGTGGCCTAACATGCAGAGGAGTTCCTGCTACAAAAAAAGCCCTGGGTTTTGACAACAAACAAGGTAAACAGAATAAGAAGCAAAAGGTGGGTGTGGATGGATAACCACATTTCTGGTAACATGGGGGTGCGGCCTAATGCGCTAATGAGCTGTGTTGTCAGGGGTGTGGCCTAATATGCTAATGAGTTTCTGCTGTTGGGTGTGGCCTATTATGCTAATGAGTTCCTGCTGGGCTTTTTCTACAAAAAGAGCCCTGGTAAACAATAGGATCCTTACCACTGAGCAAAAGTGCCAAGGTTTCCAGAGTGTAGGGGGACGGTTGGTTGATTAAAGGCTTAATATAGTGACCCCTTATACTCTCAAAGAACCTGCTTTCAAGGAGGGCATGAAAGAATGTATCTATCCTATTAAGGCCACAAGGGCAGATTCAGTCAGACTAGGACCTATTCAAAAATCTCCCCTGTAAAACCATTGTAGGAATAATATTCAGTCTTGCAAACATAAAAGCTCTAAAATAACATGGGATGGTAAGAATAGTACATATAGGGGGGTAAAGATCTTGGGAAAGAAAGACCAAAAGATAGGGGTGAGCAAACACTGCAGGTTCTCAAGATCAGACGACTACAGTCGACTTCGAGGACACGCTTTTTGATCAGAGTTGTGGCCTGGGCGGCCTGGCGGTTCCCAGCCAGCATCTCTGCTTCTGTTGCCTAGCCGTTGCCTTCTAGTGGAGTAAGTAGAGGAAAGTCTATTCCAGTAGTCCCCATCGTGGTCCCCAAGGGCACCATGGTACCTGCTGACACCATTCCTAGTGCTCGCCAGGTATGTTCATAGAATGTGGGTGGGGCCAGGGAGGGCTCCAGCAGGTCTTCTGATTGGCTATGCAAATCAAAATAATATCATTTTGGTAGCAGCTGCCACCACAGTGTTGGTTTTGTTCTCTCACTCCTCATTCCCAGGTGTGTGTTTTTTTTAAAGCTACTCTTCTTGTCCCCTGCACTTAGGCTTCCTGAGTGTGTGTGTGTGTATGTGGTTGGCTCCATCTTCTGTGATGGCCATTTTGTGGTTGGCTGCACCTCTTGTGGCAGCCATTTTGTGGGTGTGCCCACCACCCTAGATCAAAATTCCAAAGGTGTCCACTAGTTCAAAAAGGTTGGGGACCCCTTGTCTATTCCATAAACCGTTCTAGCCGTTCTCATTTAGTCCAGTTCCTTCCTGTCTACAAGGACGACCAATACCACTGATGAATGGATGGAGAACCATTTTCTCACTGCAGAGGACTGTAACCCTATCCCCACACACCGAGACCTGGGCTGCTTATGTAGCAGAATAAGCTGGCTGACTGCTCAGAACTGTACCACTAAGTCAACAGGGGACACAGCTACGAATAGTTAACTTAAACAAGGTTATACCATGCAAAAATATGTAATAAATGAATGAACTCATGTAATTACAAAGGTTATAAGTGTGCTTTACCCAAAATATAGTAGTAAATATAAATGAGATACAATACATATGCAGCTACATATAAATCAAAAGTCAGAATTCAAAGACGTCCTTTCCAAACGCTTGAAAAATCTGACTTAGGAAAACTTATCCTGCTGTGTAAGAAAGTTCACTTCCTCCCGACTTCATTATGGTGATGACGCTTGTAGCAAGTGAGGATCCACATCCACACCCAACAGACTATTGAGAAAAGCTGTTTTGAAATTCTCTTTCTCAAGAGCTAATAATCCTTTTCTTCAAAGCTGACGATCCTTCTACAAATGAAATCAGTTTCCACAGGTAATAAGTTACATTGATGGAACGTAACTGCCTCCAGATTTCAGTCCTTCAGGTCAGCTGAGCCCGTTGCGGGAGTATGTCCATGCCGTTGGGTGTGGATCCTCGCTCTCTACAAGCTTCATCACCCTGATGAAATCGGGAGGAAGTGAACTTTCTTACACAGCAGGATAAGTTTTCCTATGTCAGATTTTTCAGACATTTGGAAACGACATCATAGAGACTGAATTCTGACTTTTGCTTTGTACGTAGTTGATATGTATTATGTCATTTATACTTACTGTTATACTTGGGATAAAGCACACTTATAACCTTTATAAGTGCATGAGTTTATTTATTAACATATTTTTGCATGGTATAACCTTGTTTAAGTTAACAGAACTGTACCACTTCAGACCACAGGGAAAGAATTACCTGGTTCAAACTTTTCCTAAGTTAATAGTTTTCTGTAAGTGGAAATCTAACACAGCACACATAGAGCTCGGCTAGAACCTCTCTCTCTCTGCGTCAATACCTTTATATCTATGGGGACTTTCTACATGGGGGAGGAGTTAAAATATAAGCACCACCACCACCTGCAGCCCATTCTGTTGTCTCCAGATTTTACCAACTGCCACAAGTGTAGCCCAGGCCTGAGAGAGAAGAAACATGGATTTTTTTTTTAAAAGGATAGGTAGTATCAGAGGTCATTTCGGGGGGAACGCGGGGGATCGCAGTTCCCCCGGGTGAGGTGCGGGGAGCGGGGCACACGACGAAGCCCCGCTTCCAGCCCTCATTCAGCCAGGAGGAGACAGGAGAAGAGGGAGGGTAAGTTGTTTCCTCCCCGCCTCTCCCCACCCCTGCCTGCCTGGGGCCAGGGAGGGCCTTGGCGGGGCTTCCTCGCACTCCCGCTGGCCTTGCAGGTCCACCGCCGGGCCCCTGATGTCAGGGGGTGTGGCATATGCTAATGAGTTATGCTAATGAGTTCCCCTAGCTCTTTTTCTACGAAACGACCCCTGGGTAATATTACAGCTTTTTGAGACCACTGGGTCAAATAAACAGTAACAGAAAAGAAGAAAATATAGATAGTATTAAACCCCAGCATCTGTCTGCTATAAAAAATTAAGCACGTCTCCCACTTCCCTGCACAAGCTTGTTGCGGTAACAGTCCAAATGATGGCAGTATTTCTATACTGCTGCTAAATGATCTGCCGATTCTTCATGGCTGAGTGTACCTTGGTGCTATATCCCTCACCTCTCTGTGTGGATATTCTTCGCCCTCTCACACTTTTTGGCACCTGTTAAGCTTTGCAGAGAGGGTCCTTGGTGCTGGTAGAGTTTGAGTTTGTCCTGAGTGAAGGTTGCCTGTGATGCACTGCTCATGGCTTGCCCCTCCCATCTAGGTTTGGCTATTCAAGCAGAAGCCGGAGACGCTGGACCCACTGGTGAAATTGCACAGCTGTACCACATTATATGGGAAGAACTATGTAGACGTCCGCAAGGTAAGCATACCTATTTGTGCAGATCATGCAATAACTGTGGTTTCCATTCATGATATCCAAATGTTCTCTGACATAAGGAATGGGAAGCAGGCCTTTCGTAAGGTGAGGTAGCTGCCTTGGATGGCCGATTTAGGCTTAACATTAAGACCAGGAGGGAGATATATAGGGCACAATTTACCAAGGACTTTTTCTGGAGTAGCGTCATTGAAATGCATTGCCTGGAACTCTAGGCACTGGGAGGGCTAAAATAAAATTTAGCATTCCCTTTTTTTAAAAGCTCTCTCCACACACACACACACACACACACACCCAATATCTTTATAGTCCCTTGCTTAGTGCATTCTGGCGGAGATTCTTGCTGTGTATCCATGCAGACACGGACACAAACTCAGAAACCTGTCCCATGAGAAGCTATCTTAACATGAGGCAATGATGGCAATCTGTTTTTTTTTTTAAAGAACAACCTGCAAAGCAATCCTTGATACTAATATTCCATGGCCTCATTTATTATTTGCATGAATACATCTAGTAGATTTTTTAAAAAAGAAATGCCTCCAGCCAGCTAGTAGGACCAGTGGATGTGGAAATAAGCTTTGGTGTGCATATCCCTAGCTGGATGAAGAATCCTGTATGTGAGGGCAAGGAGTGCATGTGCACTTTCTGCTTACCAGTTACCACATCTGCGCAGTTCCTTTTAGAAGTTTGGTGATAGCACTGGTCAGTTGGCTTACAAGCAAGGAGCTCAGTTTCACTTCTGCTGTACCAAACAACTGATCAGCAATAGCACAGGTTATTGGACCTGCCCTACACACATGCATAGCAGAACTGAGACCCAGAAATAAAGTATGCAGTTTTTAGAGTCCAGTAAATGGTGCCAGGGAATGAATGGTGTAGTGCCCCACACGGGTAGAGTGAGCCTTGGTAGGGAAGGGCTTAACTCATCCTGTTAACCTTTCACTGCTGTGTTCTATTGTGTCCTTCAGATGGATATCGACCAAGACCTGGCTGAGAAGTTTTACCAGAAGCTGTTGGAACTGGAGAAGGAACTTTTGACAAGATGTGGCAGCCCGGCCCATAAACAATAACTAATCAGTGTCTCCTGTTGCTATCTTCATGGCAGGGGGGGACATTATTGTTTCTTGTTTGCAAAGCAAACCTCACTAAAGAGATGACATCAGGCTTTCCTGGAGCTGATGAAAGGAACCAAAAGCCTTAATTATCTGTCTCCATTACCCCCTTCCCCCCAAAATGTCTGGAACTGTACTTCTGTATGCAAACTGACTTTCTAATAAATTGTAGGTGCACAGAGCCATTAGGAAAATTTGCATCTGGCTTGTGTTCTGTCTTGCCCCAGTTTGCTGCAGCTAAGGAAATACCCATCCTAGGAAGGAGATAGGAAGGATATCAGGTGTCTCAAAATGGGTCCCAGCCTTTTGTTTTGCATACCTGCTTCAGGGGAGCTGCTGATGGCTGTAGTTCTCACTCATTCAGAAACTGTCTTCTATCCTTTCCCATGCAAGGGAGGGAATAGTCCTTCCTCCAGCTCTGTCTGGGTACAATAGTCACAGCCAGGGGTCTTGTTGTAGAAAAAGAGCTGCCGGAGCTCATTAGCATAACTCATTAGCATAACTTATTTGCATATGCCACGCCCCTGACATCACCGGAAGTGTGTCAGAAGGCCCGGCTACTTACCCTCCTGCTTCATCCTCATTCCCAAACGGAATGAGGATCGAAGCAGAGGGCGGGGTAAAGAAGGGGGCGGGGCTTCACCACGTGACCGCCCCGCCCCCTAGAGGTTCTCTTCCGGAGCTCCGTACCTGAGAGCTCCCCCCCGACTAGAGCCCTGGTCACAGCCCTTGGAAAGTGTCCTGAAAAGAAGCTTCTCTATGCATCATTCAGAGTTCTCATCTACAGTACAGTTCCTCTGAAAGGTCCACATTTTCTTCATCCTAGAAGTACCGTTCCTTAGTAAGAGACTACGACTTCTGCTTGAAAACATCTGTAGTAGGTAGTAAAGCAAACCACTCAATCCAACTGAAGGAGTATGCGCTCACTGAAATGGGCTTATGTTCATATATTGTTAGGCAGACAAGAAACCTCACGCACTGTGCATCTGCCATGTTTCCAATGAGCCTGTGGCCAGGGCCATGCATGCACATAACGCTAATTATCCTGGGTGTGTGTGTACCTGGATTTGCCCTCCTTTCTCCTTCCTAAGCAACTGATTGGTGTGATTGCTGATTTCTTTTAAAGGAGCTGTATTTGCACCATAGTGGATCCAGGCCAGAATGTGGATATATTGTGTAAACATTTTACTGACAGTAGTTTGAAGTTGCAGAGCAGGCTATGTTCCGTGGGTAGGTTTTCTGAGCCAGTAGCACAGCTGCTATAAAATGCAGCATCCCGTATCTTAATACCAACTTAACCTCATTTAGTTTTCTGAAATCTTAAGACATCTTTATTCCCTTTTAATTGTCCTCTACCACATTGCCAACATTCAAAGTGATTCAGGAACCCAGATTGCAGACCCTGATTAAACTAGGCAACTCTAATACAGGAATGTTGTATTTGAACTGTACCGTGAACTGAAAATCTGGCAATTTTTTAACCACAAAGTTCACATAGCCCTGGTCTTTGCAGTGTTACCCGTACCCATTTATTGCCATGCCCTTCATATGTTCCATTTTTTTTTTTGCCCTCTCTTGTCCTGTGTTTCATATAGGCTGTGAGCTCCTTGGAGAAGAGCAAAAATCTCAAGCAATAAATAAAATGGAGGGCAGATACCTTCTTAACAAGCAGGCTGGAAAAGTTATCACCTACTGGGAGAGAGTAGGTCACCTCCACCTTCTTTTTGAGAACTTGTAGCTGGGTGCTCAACTTTTTGTCCTTGTTTTTGACTTTTTGCCCCTAGCCAGAAATTTCTAGAGCTCTTCTTCTGAATATGTCCTTCTCTTAAAGTTGGCAGACTGTTATTTCAGATGGGCTGTGGTGGTGAGCGTTTTGCTCTTTGAAAGTGTTACGCAGACCACTTTTCCCAACTATGTTTGTGTTCTAGTGCGTATCTTTGTATGTTACAAGGTACAGCTGAGATGTAAGGTTGGATCCATTCTGCTAGCCGTGATGTTTCCTTCTTGCCTCAGGGGAAGGTTCCTTGTGCCAGAGGAAAGTACACCCTGCTAACAAGATGGTTCCCCAGCCCGGAGGATCCAAGTTGTTGTATGATGCTAGCTGCATGAAAATGAAAAGGCAGTTATTAATGGCATATAACCAAAATGTGTGACCTGACCTGTTCTCTTTCCGGTTAACTGATGCTTTCCAGTGTGGCTCCAGATATTGAATGGACATAATTCAAATGTTGTATACTATATGGAGTCCAACTTCAGAACAAGTAAAATTCCTCTGGCCGTAATCTGCTTAGGCTGTGTATTGATATAACTTTAATGAACAATTTCCCCTGTTCTGCACTGATCATCTCCAGTCCAGCTTCAAAAGGTAGATAAGCTGCCTTAATTCAGGAGGGCCCGTGATGGGGGTAGGGAGTCTTATTTGGTCATTTTAAAACATTTCAAATGTCAGGTTGTGTAAGGGGCAATGCACTCTATTCAGGGAAAACATTTTAAAAAGAGAAGATGTTTAATGGTCAGATAATTCTATGCTAGGGTAAAGGTAAAGGTTCCCTTGCTCGAAAGCCAGTCGAATCCGACTCTAGGGTTGCGGTGCTCATCTCCGTTTCAAAGCCGAAGAGCCAGCGCTGTCCGAAGACATTTCCATGGTCATGTGGCTGGCATGACTAAACACCGAGGCGCACGGAACGTTGTTACCTTCCCACCGAAGTGGTACCTATTTATCTACTTGCAATTTCTTGCTTTCGAACTGCTAGGTTGGCAGGAGTTGGGGCCAGAGACGGGAGCTCACTCGGTCATGCGGCACCCGGGTCTCGAACTGCTGAACTACTGACCTTCCCCAGCCTGCAGTTCAGCGTCTTATCCACTTGAGCCACCGCAGCTCCCAGGGCACAGGTAGCCTTGTACTAGTTTTCTGTCCCCCTTTTCTTTTCTAAGACCCCCATTTTTGCATCCATATGCATATGCAGCTATCCTGTACTGTGTTAAAAAAACTCTAAAATCCTTGCCAATGATTGCTGTACTTGGGAGAGAGGTCATAGTGTGCTTGCCTATAGAAACACACAGAAGCGCCTACATACTGCTGTGCTTTTTTTCCAGGGAGGGTTTTGGTGTAGTTACGTGTTGTAAGAGACACTGCTACTGTTCAGTGTCTTGCTGCTCTTCTTTTGTTTAATATCTCATGAGACATGATGCTCTTGCAGTTTCTCTCCCCTCACCTTTCTCATCTTTGGCTGGCAGAGACGGGAAGGTGTGAATGTATTATGAACGTATACTGTAAATTAAGCCAAGACAGTGTATTGCAGGAGAGAGGGGGGGGTTTCAGCGCCTGCTGCCCAAAAACCTCTAATGGGAGGACACCAGGGATTGAATTTGGGATATTCTCCATCCTGAGCAGTTCTGCTACTGAGCCACAATAAGGAAAAGAGATCAGTGTGACAGCAGCGATAGCTCCCTATCTTGTACACAGTGACGCCGATTCCTTGCCTCTCTCGATGTTTCTTTTCAGAGAGAAGAGACAACATTTTTCCACATTCGGTGAAGAAATTGTCTGAAATCTTCAGAAGTTTAAGATGGGCCTACTGAGGAGATAAGAACCAAAATGGGTTGTGGGGCAGCATCTCAGGGACCCAGCTGCCTCTAGAAAATATTACATCTGGGCCTAGTTTTTAAGCTGGGCCTACACAACTTGTGGTCAAAACTGAATGCAGCCCGCCAGGGGCTTGATAAACCACCTGCCAAGCTGATAGATTTTCTGAGCCTGTTTTAGGCTGGTGATGACTAAGTTCTGTGGTCTATTCTATAGAAGAATGCTGGGTTTTTTCCCGCCCAAGGCTTGGCATTCCTTGAGAAGGCCAAATGCCCTACCACTTAGGTTTTAGGATTAATCACTGCCTGTGGCTGTGGAGAATGCTCAGTGGGGGTTTTGTGCCCAAATATCTCCTGGAGGCTGAGTTCCTTTTCCCAAACAGGAATGTTCTTGTGCCGAATATAACGGAATTTCCGAGCTTCAGCATAGGCCTTGAGGAAATCAGGTCTAAAATACATGGTTCTGAGGTGTCCATCTGCGGCATAGGCCTCTGCATCTAGAATCAGCCTCTCATGAACTAGAGAAGGTTTCCGCTTCACTGGGGGGTTCATAAACTTAGTTCTAGGGTACTTAGGTCCAGCAGCATCTCTAGTCTCTTCTGTTGTGAGCCCTTTCCCTTGGTCCTGTCTGCTGTCGGGCTCTTTTCCCTCTGTAGTTTCTGCCGAGATGTGCAGCTGCTTGGCGATAGTATTAAGAGCAGTCACTTCACTGTCAGCTACAGAAGTTTGGTCTCTGGTCTTCAGTGGTGGCAAATGCCCATCTCCACCTTCTTCATAGCCTGTGACATTGTTGCTGTGTGGATGTGATGGAGACTGGCTTGTACCTGAGGGGCCTCCTGGCTTGATTTTCCTCATGCTTCTAGAAGAGAAGGAGAGTTATGCAGTCTGTGCCTAAGCAGAAATGGTGCTTCATTCCCTCACAGAGCAGTGTAGGGTTAGAGTGTCGGACTAGGATCTGGGAGGCCCAGGTTCAAATCCCCACTCCACTATGGAAGCTTGCTGGGTTGCCTTTGGCCAGTCATACACACTCAGCTTAACCTACCTCACAGGCTTGTTGTGAGGATAAAATGGGGGAGAAAAGAATGATGTGAGCTACTTTGAGTCCCCACTGGGAAGGAAGGGTATGTGAAATATATAAAAGCCCTAATGTATTGGGTTTTCAGCTCTCCCATTGGCTGTGCTGTGTGCTCCATCAGCCACTGGCCCATCAACCACCACTCAAGAGTACTTGTGTGCCATTGGCTGGGGGCTGGGTCCGCTCTTCTCCCTCTCCCACTGCCATTCCCTGTCTGAATAAACTACCAAAACTGCCCTGAGGCTCACTTTCTCCTCAGGGGCTGTAGCTAGGCAACCAAGCTTGGTTCTGTTAGTAAAAAGGCAAAGGCAGGAGGCCCTTTCCAGGCCTACTTTGGCCTTTGTGGGGAACTCATTGGGGCCAGTCCTGACTAGGGTTGCCAGCTCCAGGTTGGGAGATTCCTGGAGATTTTGTGGCACAGTCTACAGAAGCCAGAGTTTGGGGATGGAAGGGGCCTCAGCTGAACAGAATGCCATAGTCCACCCTCCAAAGCAGTTATTTTCTCTAGGGGGAGACCTAGGTTATTGCTGTGGAAGCTGAGTGGGTGATGGTCTTCAGATGGCAGAAATCAGTTCCCCTGGAGAAAGTTGTGGACTCTGTATCATTATACCCTGATGAGGTCGCCACAGCAAATTGGCGCTGAGTGCCCAAGGCTGGGTTACCTGCCCAGAGCCTCTTTCTAGAGCCCGTTGAACTGTGTTCATCTGCCAATACCACCAAGCAGTTTAGGAGCCCACTAGCCACTCAGTAGGTCATGCAGCCTCTGGGACTGAGCACAGGGCCTTCTCACACTTTGGACTGCATCCAGTGGGAAAGGACTGTGGAATGGGCTGGTGGAATGCAGGGATGTCATCCTCCAGGTGGGATCTGAGGATCCCTCAGAATTACAGCTCTTCTCCATATTACAGAGATCACTTCCCCTGGAGAAAATGGATGCTTTGGAGGGTGGACTCTGTGGCACTGTAGCCCAGTGAGCTCCCTCCCCTCTCCAGGCTCCACTCCCAAATCTCCAGGAGTTTATCAACCTGGATCTGTAAACCTCCCACTCCCAGCTGGTGGGGGGAGGGGAAGAGACCTTGCAACCATAGTGAAATGAATAGTTCCCTCCCTTCCCCAAACAGTCTGCTGCTTATCCCGAAGCTCCTATCTGAGGGCCAGGAGAGCCCTGCAACAATATGCACCTCAGTACAAGATGCAGGCCTCGGTTCCTGCTGGAGCGCACCGGAGCACAGCTTTACCAGTCAGGAGCCCATGGGGAGGGCACATAAACCCCACCCCCTGCTCCCACCAGCCATCAGTTGGGACATGGTGGGGGGGCCGAAACGTTCCCCCCGCCTCCCTGAGCCCCAGGGTGGTGGCCTTGGACTCATAGGGGCAAATTCCACCTCTTGTGCGAGAGGTCATTCTGGCTCCCCCAGCTCTCCTTCGGGGCTCCTTAAAAATATATGGCCACTGCCGCTGTGACGCTCGCGTGGGGGCCGGGGTGGAACCTTCTTCTGCCTCCCTGAGCCCCGGGGTGGTGGCCTTGGAGTCGTAGGGGCAATTTCCACCTCTCGTGCAAGAGGTTATTCTGGGTCCCCCAGCTCTCCTTAGGGGCTCTTTAAAAACTTATGGCCGCTGCCGCTGTTCTCGGCGGCAGCTGCGATGCCCGGGGGGGGGGGGGAAACGTTCCCGCGGCTCCCTGAGCCCCGGGGTGGTGGCCTTGGACTTGTAGGGGCAAATTCCATCTCTCGCGTGTGATGCTGCTCGGACATCACAGCTGAGAGGTCATTCTGGCTCCCCCAGCTCTTGGGAGGGGTTCTTTAATAAGTTATGGCTGCCGCCGCTGTTCTCAATGGCGGCTGCAACACCCCCACAGGGGGGAGGGGCGGGGCAAAACATTCCCTTGCCTCCCTGAACCCCGGGTGGTGGCCTTGGACTCGTAGGGGCAAATTCCACCTCTCACGTGTGATGCCGCTCGGACTTTTGCTAACACATTTTTGTATTTTAAAAAAAATCTCACATGCAAAGTTGGCTAAATTTTGAATGAAGAGACAAAAGGCATCTAAATGTAGGCATATGGCTCCAAATTTTGCACTTTCGATGGCTTATTCTTTATGCAAGATCAAGCTTTTTTCCTCCTTCAGCTAGTCTCAGAGGAGGAATTTGCATGAAAACATAGTCCTGCTACTGGCTGTTTTAATTTCTCTCCAGCCCAGCTAATCATGGCAACTTGCAATATCGAAACCTTTACATTTTGTCTTTTAAAGAAAACATTTATTTAATTTGTTCATTGACAAGCTGACGCTGAAAATAGAAAGTCTGCACTAAAGGAACAACTTTAAAAAAACCCTACCAGAAAACTCAGAAGAATATTAATATTCCTTCTATTAAACATAAATATTCAGCAGCAATAAAAGGAAACCAGTAAGTCTCACAACATGGAAAAAAAGGAGCCTGTGCCTTAAAATCAACATGTTGGGAATTCACCTCCGACAGAAAAGCTTCCAGAATATCAACAATGAGGGGACTAACTGGGCCTCTAGGAGGTCTGGAATTCCAGTACTTAGGAGGCTACAACTCTAAAGACCCCCTCCTCTGTGTACACCAACCTCACTTCACACAAGTCTGGCACACAGAGAGTGGCCCCAGGTGAGGGGGAAAGTGAGCAGTCTTCCTGTTTTGTAATGTTCTGGTTAATGGAGGCAGAGACCCTGGGATGACTGAAAAACCCCTTTTATTTGATGAAGTAACATGAAGTACATTAAGCAGGCTCCTTTTTCTCAGCTTCTTGCTGTTCTGCATTTACCGGATACCATTCCTGAGCCCTTCTCTACCAATATTCTGGCCACAGACCTGGTGTAAAGCCCAGTGCAATTTGGCCGTAAATATAATTCATGACTGGAAAATAAGATTTTCCCGTTCTTCGCAGCCACCACATGTCTAGAGTCCAAAAATGAAGCCTTCTTACCGTCCTGCCGCATCTCTGGAGCTGTTATCCCACCTCGTCTGATGGGATAGTAGAGGGAATGTCATGTTCATGCTGGCACGTCCAGTACCCAGGGATAACTTCTGCTGGGAGTGGCCTGGGAATAACAGGAGAATGATGGTCATCAGGATGCTAGTCCTATGAAATGCTATGCTGAAAATCAGGAGCTCCGAAGCACAAGGCAAGAGAGATCTGAATGGTATCCCAACAGATGTTGACCGAAATACAGCAGTGGAACAATAATGGGGGGGGGGACTGGTTTGACTCTTCTTTCTGTTTTCCACTCAAAAGTGTGTTACACACACTTAATAATCCGCTTTCCATCCACTTTCAATATACTTTCCAGCTGGATTTTCCCAGTTCACCCAGGAAAATCTGGTTGGAAAGTGCACTGAAAGTGGATTGAAAGAGCCAAAACTCACCCTCTAAGCTGCTTTTTTGGCAGGTTTTTGAGCCAAATTAGAAAAAAGAAGGCAAAACAGCAGGAAGAGAATGAGGCAGGCAGCCTCTCCCTTTCCTATTCTTCCCCTTCTGAATGCATCATCCCATGTTACTGTTTGGTTCTTTGAAACAATAATTGAGATACTGTTCATGCATCTCCCACATATTGCCTACTTTGGCTCTCAGTAGCCTTCTGGAAAGAGCACCTTGCCAGGGTCAAGCCCCGTTCCCTTCTTCTGCCTGCTGATGTTCTTACTGGCACAAATTCAAATGCAGGTTTGGACTCCCTATACCCCAATTTTGTCCCCATCAGGGAACCAAAGCGGCTTACATTGTTCTGTTCTCCTCCATTTTAACCTCACAGCAGGCCTGTGAGATAGGTTAGGCTGAGAACACATGATGACTGGCTGAAGGCCACCTGGCAGGCTTCCATGGTAGAGTGGGGACCTGAACCTGGGTCTCCCAGACCCTAGTCCGACTCTGTTTTCATGGCATCACAGTGGCTCTCAATTTTTCAAGGAATCTGTGGAGTCTCAGATCATAGACTATATCTATGAGCAGTGTTTTAAACCAAAGCCTTTTCTTTTGGAGCCCTTGCTCAGCCCTTGGCTGTGCTGACAGTATGTGTGTGGCCTTTTTCTTTTTTATAAATGCTTTATAATTTATAATGCTGTTAGCAGTTCTCTGTACCACAATAGATGTCCATTGTTCTGGGCATGCTATTTTGTTGGGAAAGCAAGATGGGTAGCACATGCCAGGCAGAGACCTTGGACAGCAACTGGTGCCCAGGGGTCTCAGAGAGAATAGTGGGACAGGACTTGCAGGTCAGAGTGAGGCTGTTCTGCCACTCCCTCCATTGGAGGGGGGGGAGTAGGTTGCAGGGGTTTCATTGGGGTACTCCAGCAATGAGAGGTCCACAGTGAGCGGCTCATAGACAATAGTTGCTGTGAGGATGCAGACCTGCACTGAGGAGGGGATTGGACTAGATGGTCTGTAAGTCTCCATCCAAGGAGGTCCATGAACATCCTATACAACTGTATTCCACCCAGCATTCATATGCACTGGTGTGTGTGTGTGTGTGGGTGTTTCACATTTCCAATGACAAGTACTGTTACTGGAATTCTACTAGTTCAAGAAAACCATCTGGATTCTTTGAGGTGGAAATAGGAAACAGCCTTCCAATTGTGTTTGTTGTACTAATTGATGTGGCCCAAAGCTATTCCTACTCATATGCAACTACTTGCACACTGGGTTGCCAGCTCCAGATTGGAAAATACCTGGAAATTTGGCGGTGAAGCTTGAAAAGGATGGGGTTTGGGGAGGGGAGGGACCTCAGTGGGGTATAATGCCATAGAGTCCACCCTCCAAAGCACCTGGAAAGCAATTGTAACAGCAGAAGATCTCCAAGTGCCACCCGGAGATTGACAACCCCATTGTGCACCTTGAGTGTGGGTATGAATCTACGTCCAAAAGACACATCCAACTATTTTAAATGCACCCAAGTGAGAATTACAATGTGGAGGCAGAGTCTGCATTCATGGTGATAAAATGTGGATGAGGATGTGGATCTACAGGCCGATCTCCCTTGCTGGATGAGGACTCTGTACCCACAGAGCTTTCTTAGGGACTCTTGGCAAAGCCAATCAGGCCAAACAAAAAAACCACTAATTGCTGAATCCTCACTAAAGGAGCTTTGTTATTATGTTGGATGAAAGCAGAGGCCTGCAGTTGCTCACTTTTCTGCATTTTCTGGAGTTCTTGCTGGAGTCGCCTCTGTTCCTTGGTCATTGAATTCAAATAGGACACCCGGGCTTCTTCCAAACTCCGCAGCCCACGACTGAGCCGGATCTCTGCCCTTTTGACATCTCGCCTCTTTTCTTCCCAGCGTCTGAAGTCCTCGCTTTCGGCCATGAAGTCTTCAGCGTCCTCTTGATGTTTGCCCAGAGAAGGGGAAATCTGAAAAAGATTTGGTGAGGTCAGCATCCTGTTTTCTGTGCTTTGTGATAGCACATTCCCGAGCTCTGCGGATTTAAAAAAAGGTTCAATTAAATCCTGGCAGCTTAATCTGAGCCAGTGATAGGAGGACTCAGATTTGGAACATCTGCCCCAGAACATACTCAGCATTCTACAATTAAGGATACATCACTCTCCAATTTAGATATATTTATTTACTTCACTCCCCCCCCCCCCGGAATTAAACCCAAACAAATGGTAACCATATAAACTAAACTTGTTATTCCTGTTTGATCCTTGAATCTGTTAAACATCTTCATTATGCTGTGTGATAAATTATATGTATGGGCCAGTAACTTCTATTTCACTGTATCAGAAGAAATGTACATGAACACGGAAGCTTATACCTTGAATAAAACTTTGTTGGTCTTAAAGTTGCCACTGGACTCAAACTTTGTACCTCACAGGGTTGTTGTAAGGATAAAATGGAGGACAGGAAAACAATGGAAGCGGCTTTGGGCACACATTGTGGAGAAAAGGGAATAAATGAGGTAAAGAAGCAAACAAACAATGGCTAATAAAAATCAGCTACGGTTGTCAGTCTGGGAGCCAAGTCGTTTTTACATCGAGCTGGTTCAAGTTATTGTGTTACCCCAAGCAAGGGATATATTACCTGCTTGGTCTTTCATCAGCCAGATCCAAGCCAAGCCCTGTACAATGTTCAATCACATCACATTTTAAAGGTGTACCCTGAAGATTTCACTCAAACCTGCCATATGAAAATGAAAAAAATGCACACGATATCCTCCAGGATATACTAATCAGGGGAGGGAAGGCAGCATGATGAGTCACCGGGATCGGGGCGGATCGGCAGTACTGTCGTTGTTAGATCTGTCGGCCGCGTTCGATACGGTCGACCATCAGCTACTGACCCACCGCCTCACCGACATTGGAGTTCAGGGACTAGCCTTGCAGTGGCTTGTCTCCTTTCTCCAAGATCGAGGACGGAGAGTGGCGCTGGGGGATCAGCTATCCCGAAGGCACCCAGTGGAATGTAGGGTGCCCCAAGGGGCAGTGCTGTCCCCAATGCTCTTTAACATCTATATACGCCCTCTTGCCCAGATTGCCCGGAGGCATGGGCTGGGGTGTCACCAATATGCGGATGACACCCAGCTCTATCTGTTGTTGGATGGCCGGTCTGAATCCAAACCGGAAGACCTAGGTCCGGCGCTACAAGCCGTGGCTGGTTGGCTTAGGCTAAGCCGGATGAAATTGAATCCGACGAAGACGGAGGTCCTGTGCCTGAGTTGGAGCGGTCCAAGGGTAGGGATCCTGCTCCCGACCTTCAATGGGGCACTGCTCGTGCCAGCGCTGAAGGTTAGGAGTTTGGGAGTGCTCCTGGATGCCTCCTTAACAATGGAGGCTCAGGTAGCAGCTACTGCCAAGTCGGCCTTCTACCATCTTCGGCTGATTAGGCAGCTGGTTCCCTTCCTTGAACGCAATGACCTGACAACAGTGATCCATGCAATGGTCACCTTGAGATTGGATTACTGTAATGCCCTCCACATGGGGCTGCCCTTGTTGCAAATCCGGAAGCTGCAGCTGGTGCAAAACGCTGCGGCCAGGTTGTTGATGGGAATCCAGATTCGGGAGCACATCCAACCTGTGCTAAAGACATTGCACTGGCTGCCTATAGCATACCGGGTCCGCTTCAAAGTGCTGTTTTTGACCTTTAAAGCCCTTTATGGCCAGGGTCCTGCATACCTAAGGGACCGCCTTTCTCCATATGTACCCCAAAGGACACTGCGATCGGGGACCCAGAACCGGCTGGCTCTCCCAAGCTTCAAGGAGGCCAGACTGGTGGCAACTAAGGCCAGGGCTTTCTCGGTGGCGGCTCCACTCTGGTGGAATGAGCTCCCGGAAGAGACTAGGGCCCTGTAGGACCTTTTCACAGTTTCGCAGGGCCTGTAAAACGGAGCTCTTCCACCAGGCTTTTGGAGCCGCCACCACTAACACCTCCACCGCCAACAATTGATATCTACTCTGGCGGAGCCCTGGCCGGCAGGTCCCTCAAACACAGCCCGTGCCAATCACCCGAGATAGCTGCAGAAGGCTGAAGAGTCAATTGGGATAATGAGGAATGCTGCTAGCACTTTATCTTGTTTGAATTTTAATGCTGTATTTATCAATGTATGTGATTTTATAATGATTGTATTATGGGGATTTTATCTGTCTGTAAGGCGCCCTGATGGAGCTGCGGTGGCTCAAGTGGTTAAGACGCTGAACTGCAGGCTGTGGAAGGTCAGTAGTTCAGCAGTTCGAGACCCTGGTGCCGCATGACGGAGTGAGCTCCCGTCTCTAGTTCCAGCTCCTGCCAACCTAGCAGTTCGAAAGCAAGAAACTGCAAGTAGATAAATAGGTACCACTCCGGTGGGAAGGTAACAGCGTTCCGTGCGCCTTAGGGCGGGATAAATTTTTATAAATAAATAAATAAATAAATAAATAAATAATAGCCTGAACTTGTCAGATCTCGGAAGCTAAGCAGGGTTGGTAGTTGGATGAAAAGCCACCAAGGAAGACTCTGTAGAGGAAGGCAATGTCCCAACCACATCTGCCTCTCACTTGCCTTGACTGCCCCTGGCTGTGGTCGCCATAATTCGGCTGTGACTTGACAGCACTGTACGTACACATATGAATCAGGATGGAGCTGTGGCTAGCCGCAACTCCTTGTTGAACGTACACTTGGTAGCAACCCTGGTTTCCCCTCTGTGTAATGTGCGCAAAGCTGTCTTCTCCAGCATAGAGGCAATATCAAAGTCCAAATTGGAGTGCCAATCATCAAATTTTCTGAGCCATCAAAAGCCGACGCGTAATCCGGATGCCTGAAGCCGCGTTTCGAATTATTCTTATTCAAGTATGGCTGTAATGGGACTGAATGCAAATTCAAAGCATATACAAATAAGAATGCATACAATTATGCTAATGAGTTATGCTAATGAACTCCTGCACCTCTTTTTCTACGAAATGACCCCTGATCCTATTAATACTTAAGCTGTTGGACATAAACTCCCCACTGAATTCACTGAGATCTAATTCTTCTGACTCTCTATGTGTAGGATTGAGCGTTAAATTTTCCAGAGTGGAAATCTCTGTTTCTCTGGCTTCTGGAGTCGAATCCCAGTTCGGCCAGATTCTAAACAGAGAACACGCCTCTATTGTGTTCTTTGAATGGGGGTTGCTATGAGAAAGGCTGCTGCTACCTGAACCACAGTTCATTCACTGTTGTGTACTATGAAAAAGCAAATCTTTGCTTTGCCAGGCCCCCTTTAATATACGGCCAAACAGTGCTGAATCTATTATGCAAATGCTAACTTCCCTGCGCGGTTTACTTCTTGGTCTGCAGCGCGACCTGCAAGGAGCAGGACAGATCCTTGGTGCGCTTCTCATGGTTCTGAGTCTGGTCATCATGGCTACCATAAAGTAGGGTAGCCAACCTCCAGGTGGCACCTGGAGTCCCCCCGCTATTACAATTAATCTCCAGGCGATCAAGATCAGTTCCCCCGGAGAAAAGGGCTGCTTTGGAGGGTGTATTCTATGACATAATACCCTGCTGAGGCCCCTACCCTACCCAAACCCCACCCTCCCCAGGCTCCACCCCCCAAATCTCCAGGTATTTCCCAACCCAGAGCTGGCAACCCTACCATAAAGAGGGCCTGTCTTCCCTCAGCGCTTTGTCTGCAGTGCCACCTGAGGAGTTGTGAGCACTGGGGGTTTAACTTGTTAGCACTCCTCGAGAACTGGGAACTGGGGCAGTCTTAGCAATAGGGGTAGCGGTCCCACGCCCCATGCTGGAGTGGGTGACTGCCTACAGCCCCCTTCCCATGAGGGGGGTGGTAGAAGAAAAAGAGCAGACTCACTCTGCCGCCATTCACACCCACCCTGTCCATGGCTCAGGCCACCTGCTTGCAGCAATGGGCACTTGTGCCCACTCTGCCCAAGGCCCGGGTAGCCTGCTTCCAGCAACAACTCCCACCCACCTCACGTAGTGCAAGGGGATACCCCTTGCTTGGCCCCAGCGGGGGTGGGTGAGGACAGGACCAGTGGGGGCAGCAGTGATTCTAGAGCCCCACCCTGGACTTTTGCCAGTTCTTCTCATTTACAAGCCCTTTTCGATGGTAAAATTAGATCTCTCTGCTCACCACTTTGCAGCATGGCTATGTTTTTACATCTAGTCTGAGGCGTCCGAAGCTGTGAACTGCCTGACGTAAGCGTCTTGGCATACCGGACTCTCCCTGGAGATCTCAAGCTCTGTACACACATAATAGTGTCTGTATATCTTGTATATCAAATCAGTCAATCCTAAAAGAAATCAACCCTGACTGTTCCCTGGAAGGCCAGATAATGAAACTGAAGCTCAAATACTTTGGCCACCAAATGAGAAGGGAGCACTCACTGGAGAAGACCCTGATGCTGGGAAAGATTGAAGGTCAAAGAAGACGGGGACGGCAAAGGATGAGATGGTTAGACAGTGTCATAGATGCAACGAACATGAAATTGAGCAAACTTCAGAGGACGGCAGAAGACAGGAGGGCCTGGCGGGATCTCGTCCATGGGGTCGCGAAGAGTCGGACTCAACTGTGCGACTGAACAAAATCTTGCATATAGGTGCATACATTTGTAATAAAGAACCAGTGCACGTTCATTTAAAAACACAGCCAGGGAATAGTACCTGGAGATCTGTGGGCTTTAAATTACACATTTAAGCAACATGCACTTTCACTGAATGTAATGTAACGATTACTCAACATGTGTACAAAGAAAAATCATGTGTATGGGCACAATGCAGGGATTGGACACCCGGTCACTGTAATGTGTCTACAAAACGATTACCTCACATTATGGGGGTGTGTGGACACGTGTCTTTAGGGTGTGGATGGTCACACTGTTGCTACATGCAATGTATCGATGCCACATTCCTGGTGTAGGAGACATGCAGTCTATACACCGAATTGGGAAGGGACAGGCAGAGCTCTGCAAATGTTACCACTATGGCTTGGTAAGATGAATA